TTTTTTGGACTCCAGATTTTAAGATAGTATCCGCTTTGTCGGATGCTACTGGTAGTAGCTTGGCTAAACTCATAGTAAAGGGCATATGTTTGACTACCTACAGCTCAAAATGGGCTCAGGATTGGTTGTGGCCCCATTTTGAGAAAAAATTTAGGTTTAGGTCAAACTGGACCAGCACCGACGTCTATTAACACTGGGCATCTGGTTGGACCAAAACAAGGCAAGCTTGGGTTACAACCGAAGAAATCAGGCCTGGCCCAGTTTTTGGGCGTTTTCGAAAGAGCTGTGATCCAATATGCGCTCTATTTACTTGGACCGGGTCGGGTTCTGATGGGAGGGACATATTTGCAGCCATAACCTCAGCCCATCACGTGCTTCCCCATGTTTGCTATATCCACTCCCAAACAGTAACTTTGGGAGTTGGATTGTCGAAAATGCCCTTTTAGACTTGGCCTAGTTTGGTTTAGAAGAAGGGTAATTTAGTCCTCACACACCCCCAAAGTTACTGTTTGGGAGTGTGAATAGTTGGACCCGTGCTTCCCAGACTTCCTTTGTAACGTAAGAACTAAGAAGTTCCCATTTTGCAAAAAAGCCCTAGCCTTTATCAACCAAACCCGATGATCCCCGGCGAAAGAGCTTCAGAGTTCAATAACATTTAGGGTACGTTTGTCGGTTCCTTTTCTCTTTTTTTTCTTTTTTTTTTAATCCTGAAGTAAATTAGCTTCTTTTATCAGCTTAATTGGTCAATTTAGTTTAACGTCTTTTTGGTAATTTAGATGCGATGCTTTGATTACTTCATTATTATTTATGGTATAATATGTGAATCGTGCCATGATTCGTTCATCCGTTGTGAAAAAATGTGGTCTTTGCCGTTTTTAGATGGTCTTTTTTTAGCATGGGGGTGGGAAGCACGGTCTCAGACTCATCGGATTATGCTTTTGTTTATAAATCGTATACGGCCCGTGCTTTATATAAAGAGCAATATGGAGGAAATCGGTACCGAGCACAAGTTTTTGTGCTCGGTAGTTTGGCGGTTCATTCATCAAATGGGGGACCACATTCACACGGGTTAAAGAGTGGAAGAGTGGATGGGAATAAGCAGGGGCGTAGCCAGAAATATTTTTTGCCCTGGGCGAAAAATAAAGATGGTCGGCAGTGAGGGACTTGAAGCGACGGAGGAGGGAGAGGAGCTTGGCGAGGGAGAGGAGGGAGACGCGGTAGAGGGAGGAGGGTTGGGGATTGTTGAGATAGAGGTCCTAGAAGAGGAGGGAGAGGAGGTTGGATCTGCGGGAGAGGGAGGTGAAGTGGCCGGAGAAGAACTGTCCTGGCTACGTCCATGGGAATAAGACACCTCACTACCAAGCACAAATTTTGTACTTGATGTCAAGTTTCTACATTTTTCTCTTATATAAAAGCCTGGCTAAATCAAGCTAGGATAGCCATTTATTAAAATTTAATAAACTAGAAGAAGGGATCAAGTATTTTGATACTTAGAAATCTTGCAGCAACCAATGGATAGTATGTGTCTTTAGTAGTCTGCAGAAGGATATTCAATAACCGCAGTGTCCCTTGAAATTCAAAGCAGAACATTTTTTTTCCTCTGCCTCAATATCTATCTGTAGTTTATCAATCAACTTGCTTCAGCTGTAACTACCATAGTATCTTAACAATTATAATAACAACATAGACGCGTCCTTTTGGAAAAATCATTGTCATTCTAATTTGGTGTATTTTCTGAGAGAATTGAACTTAGGAATCTTGAACCAACGTCGGCGAAACCGGTCCAGGCCCTTTATTCTTATTCGTGAGTGGATCCTCTTGATTGAATTGCTAACAAGAGTTGCGTACTTTCTTTTGAGTGCCATTGACTTTGACAACGTCTTCAGCTTGTTCACACAACTGCTACCTGCACCCAATTTAAGTGGACATTATTAGAATATCTTACCTTCCGAAAAATAAAAGTTTACATGTTCAATATCTTTTCACTTTTTTAATTAATTAGAAATCCTGGTGTGATTTATATTTCAGTTAAAATATTTTAATCAATTGGGATGAGTGTATTCAAGTTTTTTTTATATCCCAATTAGAAAAAGTGGGATGAGCGAACTCAAGTCTGTTTTTTGTATCCCAACTAAAACAACTAAATCACATTTTTTCCTACAGGTCAAGGAGCTTCAACTTGATCTTATCCATTAAAACTTTCCATTCAATAATAAATTTATCCTTCCATGAAAATACCTATTGTACCTCTGAACATGTTCATCAATAATTATATTGAACTGTGAACTAATTTAAAGTTCAGGACAAAGTTCTGTATATAAAAAATGGAAAAGGAGGAAGTAGTAAATGAACATTTTTTACTTCTTTGTTTTATTTCGTATCTTTTAACTTTTTTTTCTTATAACTTAATGATATGTGAGAGCAATCTCTCACTTGGGACTTTCTTGGCGTCTTGAGTTTTTCCTACCCTTGCATTTCGCAACACCTGCGGTTAAGAATGTATGTTAGCACCATAATGCAAGTAACCTGTTCAGAAAGTAATGGCTGAGATAACATCATAATGGTGTGCGCTATCATGTTGTATTTCAATATAATATTGGATATACTAGACATTTGCCGTTGGCAATAACTGAGAATAGGTATTGCTTATTCCAGGAATATTTGATCTCTGGGACCATGTTGATGGATATCAGACTTAGAATTTGAAGGTAAAACTTTCGCGTCAGATGTCCATATAGTGTGTTTGTGATTCTTTAGCATGCAAATGAAAGTAGATAAAGACTCATTACCGCAGCTAGGCTTTCCATGCGATGCCTTAGCTTTCTCTGTATGAAACCTCTGGTACACTGTGAGCATTATTATCAGTCTTTAATGATAAATTGATATAGATTATACTCCATCTAGTACAATCAATTGCATCTTCTGAAGTATACCTTTACATGGTATTTCACGTATGCATCGAAGTTCAGTAAAATCCAAATAGCCTTGTCTGCTCTTGCACCTTTAACATGTTGAGGAAGAATTTCTGTGGAGTAGCTAATTGAAGCCATATTAGATTGAACTTACACTCCACAAATTACATTCTGTGTTACACTTTAACAAGGATGAAATTAGCAAAAGGACAGATGCACTGTAGGTAATCAGTATGTTTCTGCCTAAAACTGCTGTTTGGTTGCTTATTGTTTCTGGAACTGGAAATATATGTTATTGTCTGGTTTGGTTATTTTACTATTTACTGCAAATGGAATATGGAAAAAACATTTTTTACTTTTTGTTAATTTTACTTCTAATACCCTCAAAGTAACCAGATAGGAATCAGTTTTACTTACCAAAAGATACAAATCCTCCATTGGTTGCTAAATGTTGGAATGCTTCTCCTCGCAGCTCTGGTGGAGGAATTGGTGACCAGATGCAACGTGGTGCCTTAGCGCAAGCCGCTGAACACCCTGCATCCATAAGTTCCTGCAGTACGAAAGAACGTTTGCTGTAAGGAAACTTAACATAACTCTTGCTATTTAAAATTAAAATCATCGTGGAGGCATGTTACCTGAAAGAACGAGGTTGCAAGCACTACATCTGAATCCTCTTTAAAACGCATGGGAAATATGACGGTTATCTTTTCTGGCTGTAGTATAAAAAGAGGTCACTTTATTGAGTGAGAGTAACTTTATAGTGCAAAGACAGAGCAGTTTACGGATTGAAAGTAATTTTGAATAGTAATATTCAGTCCTAATGAACTCTTGAAGTGTTGCTTTTGTTATGCAGTCAAAATTAAATCAAGGCTCTACCTTTTTCATGGAGAGAACCATGAGGAATCCTATCTAATAAATTCATTTAAAACATGACGTGGTCTAGAACAAAGTAATATAATCAATCATTCCAGTGATATATTTTTTGGTTTAACATATTAACTTAATCAAAATTAACTGATTAATATTCTGGACTATTAAATTATAGACTTGCATAGAAGATGCAGTGATTAAATGGGCTAATCTCTGAGTGGAGGAAGAAGATATGGAAGTGAGGTCGCTTTTTCATTGGAAATGTACCTAAGCAGGCCGAGGACAATGATATGAGAGGGAATGAATCCACGGAGTAGGATGACAAGTTTTATTCCTAAAGCTGTATGATTATACAAAAAGTGAAATTTAACAACATTCTAAAGATAGGAAGGAAAGGCATTAGACAAAAATGAGCAAAAATAAAACGGCGCAGTTACATTTTATAATCATGTGTGCAATAACAGCAGACCAAAGTGTTTCACCAAATCTTTCATAAATTGCCCATTTCCATTTGTAAAAAGGTAGATATTCATGCTCTTATGTTATTCAACTATGTTGTCATGTAATGTGTACAACTTAGTATAGAAGCTACGTATTTTGCATACTTCATTCTGAACAATCTGAAAATTAAGTATTGGGCCTTATCTTAAATTTGAAGCATGCCCTATATAATCATCTTGTGCGGCTGTACTTTCACAGTATTCGTATCAAGTGTATATGAGAAGATTGCTTTAATGCATAAGAAAATACCAATCTGAAGACAAAGAAAGGCTCTCGTGGGTGATACACAAGTTTGACTGGCTTGTACGTTCCATAATCCATATCCTTAGAACCAAGACTCCACAACATGTCCTTCAATTGTGAGGTCATAATAACTGCTAGCAATGATGATATTTCAGCAATAGCCTTGACACGTTTTTCTGAGACAGTTCAATGAGGAGAAAATTGTCATTAGTCTATACAAATTTGTGAAGTAGAAAGATTGGCAGCGTCCATGTAATTTGCATTGTATATGAGCCATAACATTGATTAAGACCATTTACGTTAGCTAGATTAAAATATGTAATATCAGAAAGTTTAGCCTGACATAAATATTCTATAAATATCAGTTTAGAACCTTCCATATTACTGAGAAGGATTCAGATGGTCACAATCACATCCTAATTCTGTCGGTCCAAATTTCTTGTTTGGCTTGAGAGTTTACTACTTTGTTGATGATGAAGTATACTTAAAACCTAGAAACCTAAAGTTCAACTGTACTCCCTGAAATATATTTTCTGACTGCTGATAACATAATTCAAAATAATATTATCCACTTATGAAGCATTCAAAGGAAACAAAAGTGATCCATATCGTATTGAACATAAGTGCAACTCGTGAAGAGTAATAATTCTGTACCTTTTCTGTGAGAAATTTTAGCAAAATTAAGTCTCAAGGTTAGTAAAAATCCAGTTCGTGGAGGTTCAACAATTTCTGCATAATCTGAATACGTGCTTTTGATATCTCGCATGGTACATTCAGGAAGTCCGGGGGAAAGTGAAGCCTCTGGAGACAGTGGCGGCGTAGATATTGATAAATATACAATTTGAGGATCTGATGCTGAAGCCTGCGCAGAGCTATTAAATGTCAAAGCTAGAAATATATAACTTATGTGAACGTGATGGTCAATGTCCTTTATCTGACAACTGTGTGACGCCCATTTAGATTATGATGGTTTCTCAATTTTAAGTCGGTTAAAATGCTGGTATCTATAGTTAATCTGATACCAACTGTTTTTCTGTATGCAAAAGTACTTGTGGAAGAAAAAAATTATGATTTTTATCAACCTCAGTTCAACAGCACCGATACCATAGAATATCTATGTTGGAGATACAACGGAACTGTGCAATGCCTAAATTCAGCATGTGAGAAGTTAACCAGTAGATAGATTCCCAATGAATACCTGTACATGGTACCGAACTGATCCGTGCTCATATATGTCCTGATCAACATCTGTTGGTGTTTCAGATCTATCAAGAATAGACAATTAGTTCACTAAAGCTGAAACTAATTATGTGAATTCAATGGTGCATGTAAGACAAATAAATTGATTGCATGATTTTCAATGTGCTAGTTGCACGTTTAAGAAATTAGATGATATAATATTATTCATTGCTTATATAATTGAGCATATGAGGCATGCTAGATGTCTGATATAATGGTACTTCGATAGAATATAGGCTCACATCATAATTAATTTGATATGAAGTTTCAGGATTTGCATTGTAGCTCCTGATACTTCACAGCTCTAGTCGGTATCTGGAGATTAGCTCATGCATAACTCAGGCTGTTTTGGTTAACTTGCTCGGATACAGTTCATTGTCTAAGTACCCGTTATATGGTGCCTATCTTTAGTTGATGAAGACCTTTTAGGATTAACGCACCTGAGCTCCCTTGTTCTCAACTTCCATAATACCTATCACGAACTTGCTTCTGGATCCTTCCAGGCTGACATCAGAACATGCGAGTAGATGCTACGATATCTTTATTAGTTTCTTTGTTAACTGGCTTTAATAGTAACTCCTATCACTTGCACGTGTCAAATTTCTAATGTTGATTTCAGACACAAAATTACCCATTCACCGTATCAATGTAGGTTTGATTTATCAGGAGACAATTAGACTTCAGATTTTTCACTTGGTGATTTTTCACATGAGTTTTGGTGCCAACTTGCCGCTTAAAATCAACCAAGGAAATGACTTACAATTAGGATTATGTCCACATTGCCATGCAAGAGAACACGCGTGCAAAACCTACTTGAATAATGTAGTTCATTTGCAAATAGTAATGGATGATTCTGTTCTTCTAGTTATACGATGCATACCTGTCTAATTTGTTCAGGATTTCCACCAGTGCTGGAGATGCCCGATTGAACCATGTCATCCTTTGAATCGCCATGGAGATCCTTGGATCCAAGCTAAACTATGTGTGAAGTCCTTGTTTCTTTAAATAGGGAACTTGTTTTGGATCTTCAACAATTAGAGAAAGAAATAAGTACTGGTTCAAGAATTGCGAAAAGTAGAGGCTACAATGATCTCCTTTTTCTAGATAATGTTATGTTCTCTCTATTCGAAGCAAACTCTTCTTTATGTTCATTAGCTTGTTTTGAAAACACTCTATAATGATGGTGCCTCTGCCTTTTTCTTATGCAGTTGTAGTCATGATGGTGGTTAAAAATACCACTTGCCATGGAAAGTGACCTGTGAGCTACACCAGTGAAGACCAAACATTCTCTGAAGGAGGAGGAACTGAGAACAGAAACTGCAGCATAGAAAATTGAAAAGAAAAAAGGTTTTTTTTTTTTCCAATCAACAGAAGACCATGATTGTGTGTACAGAGAATAAGAAGAAAATGCAGGAAAATGCATCAAACATTAATTCTATGACGAGTAATATCAAGCGTAGCATAGGCATGTGAGGGGCCATATTTGAGCTCAACGTTGGACTAGAAATACTAAACCAAGAGCAACTCTCTCTGTTCTAGATGCATAGTGCATGAGCGGGTGTTTCTGTATTACATATGATGTTTTTAAAAAAAAATACTGCAGCAATGCTGAAAAATTACGGTGGTATAGGTTCACGGTAATTGAGGAACATCTGAAATTATTGGTTTTGGTATTGTCAAGAATACCAACAGCATGTTTATCTGTAATGAACTACAGGCTTAAAATCATCTCAAGAAAACCCCAGCAAAAATAATACAAGTGGATAAATACATCCAATTCGTTGACTTAGATTAACCGCTACGATGACATTGGAAAACCCCCCCAAAAATAACCAATTTTAGGATGCTGTTAGGCAAATAGAGCTACTATGGTCCTCTTCCAACGAACTTCAACACAATCGATTCACATCAAAATGGCAGGCGGCTACTGCTTTTGATATCTCGCATGGTACATTCAGGAAGTCCGGGGGAAAGTGAAGCCTCTGGAGACAGTGGCGGCGTAGATATTGATAAATATACAATTTGAGGATCTGATGCTGAAGCCTGCGCAGAGCTATTAAATGTCAAAGCTAGAAATATATAACTTATGTGAACGTGATGGTCAATGTCCTTTATCTGACAACTGTGTGACGCCCATTTAGATTATGATGGTTTCTCAATTTTAAGTCGGTTAAAATGCTGGTATCTATAGTTAATCTGATACCAACTGTTTTTCTGTATGCAAAAGTACTTGTGGAAGAAAAAAATTATGATTTTTATCAACCTCAGTTCAACAGCACCGATACCATAGAATATCTATGTTGGAGATACAACGGAACTGTGCAATGCCTAAATTCAGCATGTGAGAAGTTAACCAGTAGATAGATTCCCAATGAATACCTGTACATGGTACCGAACTGATCCGTGCTCATATATGTCCTGATCAACATCTGTTGGTGTTTCAGATCTATCAAGAATAGACAATTAGTTCACTAAAGCTGAAACTAATTATGTGAATTCAATGGTGCATGTAAGACAAATAAATTGATTGCATGATTTTCAATGTGCTAGTTGCACGTTTAAGAAATTAGATGATATAATATTATTCATTGCTTATATAATTGAGCATATGAGGCATGCTAGATGTCTGATATAATGGTACTTCGATAGAATATAGGCTCACATCATAATTAATTTGATATGAAGTTTCAGGATTTGCATTGTAGCTCCTGATACTTCACAGCTCTAGTCGGTATCTGGAGATTAGCTCATGCATAACTCAGGCTGTTTTGGTTAACTTGCTCGGATACAGTTCATTGTCTAAGTACCCGTTATATGGTGCCTATCTTTAGTTGATGAAGACCTTTTAGGATTAACGCACCTGAGCTCCCTTGTTCTCAACTTCCATAATACCTATCACGAACTTGCTTCTGGATCCTTCCAGGCTGACATCAGAACATGCGAGTAGATGCTACGATATCTTTATTAGTTTCTTTGTTAACTGGCTTTAATAGTAACTCCTATCACTTGCACGTGTCAAATTTCTAATGTTGATTTCAGACACAAAATTACCCATTCACCGTATCAATGTAGGTTTGATTTATCAGGAGACAATTAGACTTCAGATTTTTCACTTGGTGATTTTTCACATGAGTTTTGGTGCCAACTTGCCGCTTAAAATCAACCAAGGAAATGACTTACAATTAGGATTATGTCCACATTGCCATGCAAGAGAACACGCGTGCAAAACCTACTTGAATAATGTAGTTCATTTGCAAATAGTAATGGATGATTCTGTTCTTCTAGTTATACGATGCATACCTGTCTAATTTGTTCAGGATTTCCACCAGTGCTGGAGATGCCCGATTGAACCATGTCATCCTTTGAATCGCCATGGAGATCCTTGGATCCAAGCTAAACTATGTGTGAAGTCCTTGTTTCTTTAAATAGGGAACTTGTTTTGGATCTTCAACAATTAGAGAAAGAAATAAGTACTGGTTCAAGAATTGCGAAAAGTAGAGGCTACAATGATCTCCTTTTTCTAGATAATGTTATGTTCTCTCTATTCGAAGCAAACTCTTCTTTATGTTCATTAGCTTGTTTTGAAAACACTCTATAATGATGGTGCCTCTGCCTTTTTCTTATGCAGTTGTAGTCATGATGGTGGTTAAAAATACCACTTGCCATGGAAAGTGACCTGTGAGCTACACCAGTGAAGACCAAACATTCTCTGAAGGAGGAGGAACTGAGAACAGAAACTGCAGCATAGAAAATTGAAAAGAAAAAAGGTTTTTTTTTTTTCCAATCAACAGAAGACCATGATTGTGTGTACAGAGAATAAGAAGAAAATGCAGGAAAATGCATCAAACATTAATTCTATGACGAGTAATATCAAGCGTAGCATAGGCATGTGAGGGGCCATATTTGAGCTCAACGTTGGACTAGAAATACTAAACCAAGAGCAACTCTCTCTGTTCTAGATGCATAGTGCATGAGCGGGTGTTTCTGTATTACATATGATGTTTTTAAAAAAAAATACTGCAGCAATGCTGAAAAATTACGGTGGTATAGGTTCACGGTAATTGAGGAACATCTGAAATTATTGGTTTTGGTATTGTCAAGAATACCAACAGCATGTTTATCTGTAATGAACTACAGGCTTAAAATCATCTCAAGAAAACCCCAGCAAAAATAATACAAGTGGATAAATACATCCAATTCGTTGACTTAGATTAACCGCTACGATGACATTGGAAAACCCCCCCAAAAATAACCAATTTTAGGATGCTGTTAGGCAAATAGAGCTACTATGGTCCTCTTCCAACGAACTTCAACACAATCGATTCACATAGGCGGCTACGCTATCCAGAAGAGAAGTATGACTAAGGACATGTCCACCAATATCACGCGCCCAAGCTTCACCCTCGGCAGACCTCTGCTTCAGAACGTCATTGAAATCTCCAGATTCGGTCGTAGCTGGAGGTTCAGCACTATGAACGAAAACTTTCGGAAGGTTGAAGTAATGTTGTACAATAGTATCACTATCGCAGTCTAAAATGGCTTCTCGGATGGTCACAAGTCCACTCTTCTGTAACAGTTCACCATCACCAGCATTAATGAGATCTTCAATGTATTTCTTTAAGGCGGGTTGCTGGAAATCATCGGCAATGTAGAAGCTTATTCCATCAAATAGTTTTGGCGCCTGCAATAACCCCATAAATACAATCAGCTGCCTTACAACTTAAGTAGATCGCTCATTAATCTATTTATGCTGGTCAGTGAGAAAGAGAACCTTTTCCATGGCTCGACTTCTCCCAATTTTAGGCCCATCAAAGCAACCATGGACATCATGAGTGACTTCATAGGGCTCTTCAGGAACAGGATGCCCAGCCTGGATGCAAGCTTTAACCCCTGCGAGATGGAAACTCAAGTAGCATAAGAAGAATATCCAATGTTCCAAATTATACAGTTTTAGACAAAAGAGTAGCATAAATGTACATGCAATTCAAAATATAGACCAAACATACACATCAAACCATTTCTTTATCATAAAAGTGCAATAGAATTTTCTTTAGGGTTAATAGAGGAATGTTTTTATCTTAAACAATCTTCAAGGTATCTTCAGCAGTAAAAATTCTTACACTCTATAGTCAGAACCCATTTCCCAGTTAAAATAGCCATGAGAAACTTCAAGGTTCTGCTGCATCCACCATTTTCATCGACAGAGGCAATGACATGTGTTACAGTTGGCTTCCACATATTAGTTACATCTGATTCACTAATCCTGCCAAGTTTCTCCACAAGACCCTGTAAATCACATCAAGAAATGTATGAGCAATTAACATCTACAGACAGAAAAAGGCAAACTATATAAAGAGTAAAGTTGTGGAAGAGAAGTGCAGTAACAGTAATTCAAAGAAAAAAGGATAAAACTTGGCTGAATATATATATATGAGAAATATAGGTATGCTTGGTACCAAGCACAAATTGTGTGTTTGGTAGTGAGGTGATACAATCCCTTTCACCCATTCAAATGGAGGACCACATTCACATGGGTTGAGAAATGCATAAGGATATGCAATCATTTGAATGAGTGGAAGGGATTATGCCACCTCACTACCAAACACAACTTTTTTGGCTTGGTACCAAGCATACCCATCTCTCTCTCTCTCTCCTCTTCTCTCTCTCTCTCCTCTCTCTCTCTATATATATATATATATATTATTATATATATATATATATCATATATATATATATCTATATGAGAAATAATAGAAAAACTTCCGTACCAAGTGCTCCAAACAACGTTGTAGTGATGGGGCTAATCTATGCCCTACATCTACAATGATGTTGAGTGGAAGGTGGTTGCGAGGCTCTATCTTCGACGCGTGTGATGACTATGGGACAAGATTAGGTCCACTCACTACCAAGTTGCTTTAAGAACTTGGTACCAAGTTCTCCATCTCCGTCTCTCTCTCTCTCTCTCTCTCTCCCTCTCTCTCTCTCTCTCTCTCTTAATTTATATATATATATATATATATAATATATATATATATATATATATATATATATATTTATATACTATATATATAGAATGCCACTGTTCCAAACATAAAACCAGTAGAAAGGGCTACCATGCGTTTACCTTCTCTTCCTTAGAAAGAGCAGACCCACAGAAAACCCAATGTCTATCCCAGATAGATGATGATGTCAAATTTCCATGCTCTGGTGTTGATGATGAAGACAGATCTCCTGATGTACCAGAAGGGTCTCTGGAATGGTAGAAACAAATCAAGATTAGAAGAAGCTAGCCCATCTGATTCTAAAGGAGGTCAATTAAGACCCCACAGGAAACAAAGAATCTAAGGATATAGCTCATGTAGAGGAAGAAGCATTACGGGGATTGTTTTCCATTGCTCTTAGATTTTTTCTTTGATTTGTCACACGGCAACTTATGTGAAGCATGAGCAGGACAAAGAACAAGGTAATTTTCCTATCACAAGGAAAAGAATTCATTGAGTTAAAGACTATCCAGTTTAATACTATAATTTGGTATCAATGATGCAATAGAAAATCAACATACAGAATAGGGCTACAAAAATTACGATCAAGAACTTACACAATCCCAGCGGCACTCTAGGATGTTATATGCACAGGGAGCATGATAGCTTCTCTTGCAGCTCTTCACATAACAACCAAGAGCAGCCCCTTTCAAACCACAGCTGGTACATTTGATCTTCGAAGCACGAGCTAATTCACTTTTCAAATTTTTTACAGTCTCGCCCGAGAAATATACTTGGGGTGCCCTATGTTAGAATTGATGAAAGAAAATAAGAAACCTCTTACAACATATATTGAGCTATACCAAAGAATAAGAGCAGGTGCATGCAAGACGTGTCCTGCCATTAATTGTTGGGTGTTGCTGTGGTAGTGGTTCATGTGGTGTAGCTGTGGTGGTGGTCCATGTGGGTGGGTAGATTGGGGAGATTTCTAGTGTAAATGTCATGGTAAATTATCAACAATTTAATGCTGGACATTTCGTTTTACCGAAAACCAAAATAATTATATTTTTGGGAGTCAAGAGGCAATGCAAAATCCAACAAAGCAGCGTATATCAAACAAATGATCAACCGTAATCCAAGAGAATGTGAAGACAATAGGTTAATGAAATAGATACCATTCAATGCATTTCTCATGCACATTCATGACATTGGGGTGTGTAGCTTGATCCAAACCTACTCCTTCCCCATTTAACAAATGTAGCATCTTTCCTGAAGCCTGAAAGTGAACATTTTACACATGGAGTTCAATGCATTTGGCGCTTGGAATTAATAATAAGCTACATTAATCAAATAACCAATGGCTTAATGGAAGTCTTCTTTTACCTCAGTGGTTTTAAAGGAATGACAGAACATGCATTCCACAGTTCTGTTTGCACTTAAACCTTTAGAAGTCTCCAATGGATGGGTGTCAGAGCAGTCGCTGTGCTTATGTTCACAATCAGGGTTTGGTGTTGCAAACTCCACAGAGCCTATTCCAACTTTATCTCCAGCATCACTCTCACTGTTTAACTTCTGCCTCTTAGGCCTGCCAGTCTCAACATGCTCTCTAGGCTCATTTCCAACTTCTTTCTCTTTGACCGTGAGAATGGATCTCTTGATTTGCTGGACAATACAATTAGAATTCACAATTCAAGACACAAAACAAAAAGTGGTACGAATATTTATGAAAGAATGTATGTAGTAGTAGTCACTGAAACTATATGAATGATAAAAAAATAAAATAAAATAAAATAGAAAATTAAGTTAAGCATAAACACAAACCAAAGTAATATGTTATTCCACCTTAGAATATGTAAGTAAAATAATGTAACTTACATGTTGCCTTCCATTATCACTGTTGTCACAATCTGAATCCTTAATGCTGCCAAAAGACGGAGGGCTACACTGTTCTCCTCCATCAATTAATGCTTCTTCCCCAGATCTTTGCATTGGGGGTCCGTTTGACTTTCCTTCTCTTGGTGTCATTGTGTTAGATGTATACAGCTGCGGATCAGATAATTTTTCTCTGACCATGTTGTGCATTAATTCTCTTTGTGATATATCTATAACATAATTGTTGTCTGATGATGGACCTTCACTCGTGGGCACTTTTTTGTCTACAAACGTTAAAATATATAGCTATTATCATATGTACATGTCAAAAAAGAAACACAATATGTTTGAGTGAGAAGAAAAGAGTACCAAAATTTCTATCTTCAGACTTTTGCTGAGGAAAGTTAGCAGCTACCGCAGACTTCATATCATTGTAAATGATTATCAGTGACTTTACATGGCCAGCAGGTCGAAGATCTGCAATATTTTCTTTAAAAGTATTAAAATGATTTAGTTCTCATAAGAACTATATAACTGAAAGACAAGAAATTACCTTGATTAAGAAAAGATAATTTGCAAGAAGGGCATTCACTTCCACTTTTTATTAAAGTAGGAATGCAGTGACTGCAGACAATTAAAGAGACTTGTTAGTATGTTACAAAGAGAAACTGCCTAATCAAAGTGGGCAAATCAATTCACAGATTCAAACCTGCAAAAAATGTGACTGCAAGGTAGCATTATTGGCAGATCCAACAACTTTAAGCTGGCAAAAGGAAGTAGAGGTAAATACAGACACTGAGAACTGAATAACATTACAAGCTTAGCTAAAAGATGACAGTGCCAACACCTGACCCACCCCAAAAAAATATAAACAAATGAATGTCTATAGAGTATGGGAGAAATTAGATTCAACAGAAATAGTACAATCAAATTGAGATCAAATCTGCAAGTATAGCCAAATTGTTTTGCTTCATGAAACCTTACTGTCTCGGAAACAGAGATCAGAGAAGGAAAAAATGTAGTTACATTCTAGAATAAGACCTGTGCTAGAGATGTGAGATTATGAATGTGTAAAACATTTTCTTTAACATAACTCAAGTGCTTGATTCTTAAATTATTGGACAAAAGACATGCTTGCAAGATTAAGAATAATGGGTTAAGTGTTTTTAATAACCATGCCCTTCTCCATCAATGTCCACATTCCAACAGTTAGAATATAAAATTATAACTCTTAGTTCCGCCACATAACATCAGAGTTTCCATTCAATGAAGGAACTTTAAGGTGGTGTCAAAGTATAGGTGCCAACAGATAAATATATGGAAATTAACTGGTATAGAAGGATATTATACAAGGAAGCTAACAGATAACAGTTAACTGTCATATTTTTTTAACAAAATAATAAAAATAATAATAAGCAACAGCAAAGTCTCTCTACGCTTTTAATTATGTTCATCCAATTCTACATGAATCAGCTGAAGGAGAAAGACTCTGCAAGTTAAAAATGCCAATACGGGCATACTTATCAACAAAAGGATAACTAAATTTGCCAAAATATAAACAAAGATCAAATTTTGACTCCTTAAGACTCATTCTTTCTTTGTTTCCGCTAAAAAGAACAGTTTTTTTTTCACCTTAAAACTCATTCTTTTACCCCTGATTTATTTAAAGTCTAAAAATATCCAATATCAATCCTGACATCTAGATCAGCGACCCAGTATCTCCAAAATCCCAAGAATGAACAAATCTACCACTAAATTAAAGAAAAAAAATACGTGGATTTAAGAAAACTTAGATTAACTGTCGGTACCAAGCAGGACATTTGAGCTCCAATTCCATCTTCTGCAGGTTGAGAATCACTGGATTCAAGCAACGAACCAACGCCTCAGAATCCCCCATTCTAATCTCTCTCTCTCTCTCTCTCTCTTCACTCTCGCTCAAGGATCTAAAATCAGGGCTAGGGTTAGGGTTTTTATTTTAAAGATGATGAATTTTCCGCCTTTTCATTTTTAGCTTAGATTTTTGGAGGGAGAACGAATCAGTTGTACACGTGTAGGGCTGATCGAGTGCCACGTACGTTCGCGTTGGAAATTGGCGCCAGAAATGTCATCTCAATTTGGCGTCGATTGGAGCGGGCGGGGAAGTGCATTTCGCTTCTGGGCTGTCAATGGGCCTGGCCTGGATCAAGAGTCTTGGCCCGCAATTAATTAGTGTTCTCGTGCCATACGCGCAGAGGGTAAAGAATGGAAAGAAGTTGGAAATATAATGGAATAGATGTGGGAATGGAATGTCAATTCACATTCTCATATTTGGGTGTGTTTAGAGAATGAAATGGCAATAGCAATCGTATTCTCATTCTCGTGTTTGGTATCATTTATTCACATGTGAGAATAAAATTTAGTTTTCTACTAATGCCCTTATCAAAACATAAAATTTAAAAAACATTAAAATATTTTAAATATTACTAAATCATTCATTTTTTAAGAAAAATAAGTTTTATAGAAATGATATTTTTTTCACTCTCCTAATAATTGCTAAACATTGTCTTCTATTAGTTATTGAAATAAACTTGCAGTGACCAATTCTTAAGAGGATATTTGTTCAACTTTTTGCTAATCATTCAGTAATTAGTTTATAGAGAGAATTGAAGAACTATTTGTCTCGTGAACATGTTTTGTGCGTTTGGAACTTATGAAGTTATCTTAAGAGGAGATTTATTAAAAATTTTACTAATCATTCAATAATTAGCTAGAGATACTCTATCGACAAAATTGAAGAATTGTTTCCAAGTAATTTAACACCTAACACCAAAGATTAAATATTAGCTAACCTAATTGCCAATAGATTACCTAACCGAGTACCAAAATAAATAAATAAATCTAAAGGTTAGGTAAAAATTAGTCGCACATATGAATTTAAAAAAGAAACAATGGTTACCTTACCAAGTGGCATCGAGGCGAAGATGATATTTTTTCTTCTACAAACGCGATGTGGAACTAGGACAAGGTCAAACAAGTATTTTAATATTTTATATTTATTTATATATTTGTACGAGTAGCTAATAATATTTTTTATAAAAAAATCCATATGAGAATTTATATCTATTCGTATCTTTTAAGGAGGGTATAATCAGAAATTATTTGATTATTTTTATTCCCTTTTAAGTGATAATATCAATTCATTGTTAAATGGTTGGGAATGACAATTCCTACATAAAGTGGGAATTGATAAGAAGTGGGAACAGAAATTCTAGAATCTAAAGATATATCGTGTTTGATAGGCATGAATAAAAAGTTAGAATTCCATTCCATTCACACTCATTCCCGCGTACCAAAACGAGGCGTAAAAGTCTTTAATCAATTGATCTCCGTCTACTTTTATAGATGCTAGTTGAATTCATGTGCATTCCACGCAATTACATGCATTCCACGCGATGGAATATTATAACTATTTATATTAGGTTTCTAATGAGACAGTCAAATGAGTGATTTTGGGTGGGTTTTTGGTGGGTCATAAATAGATGGGCCCATTTATGACTCATTTAATATTTTCTAAATTGATCACTTCTCACCCACCCATTTATTAAATTGATGGTTCATGGGTGATCCAATAACTCATTTAGCTATTGGACTTTTTTATATAAAAAGATTTTAGGAGTTTATTTTTTAAATGATATACGAAATCTAAAAAAAATCAACAACCAACTATAAATTTAGAAGTTATAAAAAACACCCTTAACAGTTTTAGAAAATGCAAAAAATACTCTCAAGAGTCTAGAATTATAAAAATAACTCTGAAATTTTAAAACCTAACTAAGGTACATGAAATCCAAAAATTATCAGGAGCCCCCTATAAATTTATAATTTGCGAAAAACACTCATAAAGTTTACAAACTTGTAAAAAATACCCTCAAGAGTTTAAAATTACAAAATAATCTCACATTTTTTTAAACTTGTAGATGAAGCATGAAATTTGAAAAAATTTAACAGTCCCCTATAAATTTAAATTTTATAAATAACACCCTCGTAGTTTTAAAAATTACAAAAAATATCCTCAAGGGTTTAGAATTACGAAAACCACCTTGAACTTTCAAAATCTACAAATGACACATAAAATCCAAAAACTACCAGTAGTCCCTAAAAAATTATAATTTGCAAAAAACACCCTCAAAAGTTAAAAATTATAAAAAATCCTCAAGAGTTCAAAATTATAAAACAATCTTAGTCTTTTCCAAACTTGCAAATGACACGAGAAATTTGAAAACTTCCACTAGTCCCCTATAGATATAGAATTTGCAAAAAAATACCCTCAAAATTTTTAAAAATACAAAAAACACCCTCAAATGGTTTAGAATTACAAAAACCACCCTAAATTTTCAAAACCTATAAATGACACATAAAACCCAAAACTTACCAGCAGCCCCATGAAAATTTATAAATTGCAAAAAACATCCTCAAATTTAAAAAAGTACAAAAAATACCCTCAAAATTTAAAAATTATATAAAACTCTCAAAAATTTTCTAAACTTACAAATGGCACATAAAATTTGGAAATCTCCAACATCTCCTTGTAATTTTAAACTTTTGAGGCTGTTTTTTATAATTTTTAAACATTGAGGGTGTTTCTTACAAATTATTAGTTTTAGGGGGCTAGTGGTAAGTTTTGGATTTTATGTCTCATTTGTAAGTTTTGAAATTTTAGGGTGGTTTTTGTAATTTTAAATCATTCAGGATGTTTTTTGCATTTTTAAAACCATGAGGATGTTATTTATAAAGTTTAAATTTATAGGGGCTGTTGAAATTTTTTAGATTTCATGTGTAATTTGCAAGTTTAGAATTTTCTGAGATTGATTTAGAATCTCGAACTCTTGAGTGTATTTTTTTACTAGTTTTAAAACTTTGAGGATGTTTTATTCAAATTATAACTTTTTAGTGGTGATGGTAATTTTTAGGTTTCCATGTATCTTAGCTAGGTTTTAAAATTTTAGAGTTGTTTTTATAATTCTAAACCGTTGAGAGTATTTTTTTTCCTTGTTTTTTTTTAACTTTGAGGGTGTTACTTGTGAATTTTAAATTTATATGGTGTTAGAGGAAATTTCATGATTTCATGTGTCATTTGTGAGGTTAGAAAGTTTTGAGAAGTTTTTTATAAATTTTAACTCTTGAGGGTATTTTTATAATATTTAAACTTTGAGGATAATTTTTTACAAATCTCAAATTTTTAAAGGATGTTGGTGATTTTCTAAATTTATGTGTGCTGGTCATTAGTTTACCTTTATGGTGTTTTCTATAATTTTGAACTTTTAAAAATATTTATTGCAGTTGTTGAGACTTTGAGGGTGTTCTCGAAAGAATAGTCATCTAAATAGACAAATGTGTTGGTAATAGCACGTCCATTTATGACCCGTTTATATTTAATAGAAATAATACACACTCATTTATGACCCACTTAACTAAATGGGTAGGTGTGGAGGGTTAATTTAGTGTGTGAGTATGAGTGGACAAATGATTTTGGGTCAATTTTATCATCCCACTGTGAATACTCGTCAAACTTTATACTTTTCTTATAATTATCTTCTTTTCTAATTTATATAAAAAAAAATTTCCCCAAGGACCCAAAATATGGGACCAATAGAGGGGACAAGTGAGGTGTCCCCCTCCTATTGGATAATGAGTTGGTAATCATTAATGATGGCTAACTCATTATCCAATAGGAGGGGGACACCTCACTTGTCCCCTCTATTGGTCCCATATTTTGGGTCCTTGGGGAAAAGCTCATATCAAACTTAAGAAATATATGTGCAAATTTGCACTAAATTCCGGGTCCAAGCCTCAAATATCTTAACCTACTAAATCCTCAATAAATGTTGGCATAAAACCCTCCAAATTACACTGTTAATTAAAATGCGGTCAAATAATCAAAATATCCCCGCTAAATTTTAACGAAGAACCCCCAATTAATTTTAAGTTTCGTCATTTAACCCCAATATCTTTTGGTAGGAAACCCCTAATAAAGTTTTTTATGATGTTCAATTTTTTTAAGTTATTTTTTTTGTAATTTTTAGATCTTTTAGGAGAATGTGTATAAGTTTGCATTATAAAGGAAGTTTGAATATTTATAACTATTGAAGTTTTCAGGTGGTCGTTTGTAATTTTTAAGATTGAAGGTTTTCTTTGTCATTTTTTAATTTTAGTAACCTTGTTTCCACTTTCATATTTTCTTTTTTTTTTTTGTAATATTTGAAATTTCTATGTAAATAATCAGAAATTTCATATTTTTAGGCATTATTTATAATTTTTTTGTTTTTTAGGGGGTTGTTCTTTTTTTAGTTTTCAAGGGGTTTGTTTCTAATTTTTGATTTTTTGTGACCTAATTGCAATTTTTAAGTTTTAAAGGTTTTTTGTAATTGTTGATTTCCAAAGAGATATTTGTTATTTTTAAAATTTTTAGAATGTTGTTTGTAATTTTCTAACAAATTATCCTTGAATTTATTAGGACAAACATTTTTAAATTTATGGATCATTATGGTTTAATTAGGATTACAAAATATTTGAATAATAAATGTTTTTAATTATGCATAACTTTTTTATGTGATTTCTTAAGTAAATATATGGTTATATCATACTCCCTTTAAAAGCACGAGTTCGGAAAATCTTTTTTAGACAAATATACCCCTTTATAGTTTGAACTACTTTATCTATAATTAAATCCTAAATTTTAATGATCAATATTACCCTTCACTATTTTAAATATTTTATTTATATCTTAATCTATCCTAATCATAGTCATATCTTATCCTAATCCTATGTGAACCATGTTTAGCTTAACAATTTAAAAAAACTAATATTAATAAAATATATAAAACATAAAAATGTTATTAGTTTATTAAGATAAAGAAATTACAAGTAGATAACATATTATAATACATGAAGTATTGCAAAAAAACCATAAAAGTTTTAAAA